CCCCATACCGGACCGGGGACCGGCAACGGGATCGCAACCCTCGGTGTTGCTCCCGCGCCTCGCTCAGCCAGTGAGCGGGAACCGGTCTGTATGTGGGATCCGAACCCTCGGGCGGGAGCGCCGCCGCGCTTCCCAAGCGGCGCACTATCCAGTGCGCCACCGGGCCGGCCCGAGATGTGAAAACTTTTAATTTTCATGAAATCAAAATTTTTTTCTTTTATGGATTGTGCTTTTGGGGTTTTGTTTAAGAACTGTTTGCCTAACCCAAGGCACAAAAGTTTTCTCCTATATTTTTTTTCTAGAAGCTTTATTGTATAAGCTCTTACAATTAGGGTCATGTTCAAGATGATTTTTTTGTATAGTTTGAGGTAAAGGTCTGAGTTTATTTTTTTTCATATGGACATCCAATTTACCCAGCACTATTTGATGAAAAGACTATTTTCTTCCACTGATTAGTCTTGATACCTTTGTGGGAAATCAACTGACTGTAAATGTAAGGGCTTCTTTCTGACTCATTTCTGTTCCACTGATCTATGTCTGTCCTTGTGCCAGCATCATACTGCCTTGGTTGTTACAGTTTTATAGTTTTTGGCATTAGGTAGTATTAGTCCTCCAAGTTTATTCTTTCTTAGAATTGTTTTGGCTATGGGCCGAGCCCGTGGCGCACTCGGGAGAGTGCAGTGCTGGGAGCGCAGCAGCGCTCCTGCCGTGGGTTCGGATCCTATATAGGGATGGCCGGTGCGCTCACTGGCTGAGCGCGGTGCAGCCGGTCTCAAAAAGGACAAAAAAAAAAAGAAAAAAAAGAATTGTTTTGGCTATTCTAGATCCTTTGCATTCCCATAGACATTTTAGGATCAGCTCATCAATTAGTACAAAAAGGCTTGCTGGGGTTTTGATTGGGATTTCGTAGAATCTGTAGATCAAATTGGGAAGACTTGCTATCTTAACAATATTGAGTCTACCAATCCATGCATATGGAATATCTTTCCATTTATTTAGATTATCTTTAAATTCACTTAACAGCGTTTTGTAGTTTTCAGTGTACAGTTTTTATACTTCTTTTGTTAAATTTATTATTAAATATCTTGTTCTGATATTGTGAATAGAATTGTTTTTCTTAAAATTTCTTTTTCTAGCCTTATTTCTCTAGCTAGATCCTTTAGTATACTGTTGAATAAAAGTTGTGGGAGCAGACATCCTTGTCTTGTTTCTGATCTTAGGTGTGATGCATTCAGTCTGTCACTATTGATATTAGCTGTAGGTTTTTCATAGCAACAGGTATTCTTTTTGGGGGGTAGAGAGGGGCGGCTGGCCAGTATGGGGATTTGAAATCTTGACCTTGGCGTTATAACACCACACTCTAACCAACTGAGCTAACTGGCCAGTCAATACAAGTATTCTTTATCAGGTTAAGTTCTCTTCTATTCCTAGTTTGTTGAGAGTGGATCATAAGTGTGTGCTGAATTTTGTCTTATGCTTTTTTTGTCTATTAAGAAGATTATGTTGTTTATTTGTCCTTTCTCTACCAGTATATTTTATTGTATTACTTAATTTTTAGATGTTTAACCAACCTTGCATTTTGATTTGTCGTGGTGTATGAAGGAACGTGAAAAAGTTCATGGAAAAATAGAATTAAGGCCGGCCCGGTGGTGCACTGCTACAGTGCGCCGCTTGGGAAGTGCGGCAGCGCTCCCGCCGAGGGTTCGGATCCCACATACAGAC